CCTACAAACTCATGCAGAAGTAATGCCACCCATGTTACCGCCATGAGTACGGCCAACTGAAGTCAATGTCAATAAATCACAGAGACAAAATTACTAGTATGCATTTTTGCAGGACCAGGATTTATGACTAAGTGACTCTCTGGGGATTATATAAACAAACACAAAAGGATACCAGCAGTTTTCAACCGTGCCTGCAGATGCAGATATTTCAATGAATTTACAGATAACATGCACAATTACTGAAAGTTTGAAAAAGGGAGAAAATAGCTTACTTTTAGATTCATTTACCTCAGGATGTAAATATATTTGTACACAGCTTCAGTTTCAGTCACAGAGTCAATAAAAGAAAATTCATCCATAGAAAATGCAGGAAAGAACAGCAAAACACTACTATCAAATCACCACAACTAGTAATAAGAGTCTTGTTAGGTTAACACGAACATATGTTGGTGCCCTGTGAGATCAGGATTATAACAAAAAATCTTTATGTGTATTAAAAAATTACTTCACTTATCGGTAGTGCACCAAACAGCAGAGACTTTTGATGTACAAGTGACAAAAGTGCAGGTCAATCTATTGCTGAGCACACTACATTGCTGTGTACAAAAACTAAGATAACACGTCTCTGATCCAAATTTTCAGTTGCTGTTTTGTTGCTTGTGCCATACACTGATCCCTTTAATTGGCTTCAGCTGGAAAAAACAGGCAAGGCAGGAGTTGATTCAGGCTCCCTTTAAGGCAGTGAGAATCTTTTCACCAGTATCATTTGGGTTGGAATCAGGCCACCTTGGCATCTATCTATGCATTTTTTCTGTGCATGAAATTTAGGTAATTCAGTGAAATAAACCTATACTCTTAAAAATCCCAAATAACCTCCCTTCTCGCCCCCCAGCAAACCCAGAAAAGTAAACCTATTTCGGAGGTAGCAATTTCTCCTCCTTCAATTAAAAAAATACCTTAAACTCATTCTAGACATTTACTGTGACACTTCCTAGCTGACTCCTAACATTAAAAAAAATAATAGCAGAATGTCCTTTATTCCTTATATTTGTGAAACACAAAGCAAGGATAACACATTTTTCTGTCTTCTGTCATTCATCTGTATTCTCTAGTTTGGCTGCGAATTCTTTAGGAAAGAATCAATTTTTATTAAAATATATAGGCAGTACTACACAAAAATTTAAAAGCAAACAGACACAAGGTTGGCCGGGTATTTTCATTGAGGTATGCTGTCTACCTACAACATAAAAAGAAGAAAATTGTGAAAAAGCATTATCATGGAAAATATGCATAGTACTTCATGGTACCTAATTCCATATTCTCCCTTCTTGAATGGGTATTGGATGTTCAAAGTCATATTTAATTTGCTAAATTAAGATTGAGCTGCAGCAAAGTAACAAAATATGGAAGCACCTTTATTCAGTGAGACATTAAACTCCTTCCAGTTCATTCAGGATCATTAACTTATTATTGTGAAAAGATATTTCCAATCACTTCAATTTACTAGCCTATATTTAGGCTGGAGGATTTTTGCCCTGTTTTGTCAAAGACCCTATTCAGAGGTTCAGATTCAAAAAGAGCGAGGCATCTTATATACTTGCTCAAGATATACCTTCAAAGCCTTGCACGTCAGTCCAAGTCCGATGTTTTTTCCCAGAAATCTGTACAAGCAGTAAGAGCACGAGAGTCATTAAACTATACCATAAATGGCAAGTTAATTTGCACAAGAGAATGAAGTGGTTCAGACGGCAAACACTGAGAAAGGATGGCTAGATATACCCAGGCAAAAATGGTGTCTTCTCTGCATAAGTAATGAATGATATGCCAGGCTATTTACTCTTAACTGACCTAATGCTTCTACTCCCGTTATTAGAGCTTCCAAGTATCTCACAATTTTTAAAATATTTCTCTCTACCACATGGCCAATGGGTCAAGCGATATTAACTCTTTTTAAAGAAAAAAAGGATGAGCTATATTATTGATGCAGATAGTTTACAGAAGAACACAAAATTGAATCCAAGTGTCTCAAATTTCATGCTTGCATCCTCAGCCAGAGCATTACATTTGTTACATGACAGTCATGAGCAATGTTGTGGCATAATATACAAGCATACGGAGAGTTAAACAAAATGTGATAAAGCTGTAGCAAAAAATAAAAATCCCCAAGCAATCCAGAATCGAGTCTAGTCTCTTTCAGGTTAATTATGGATGGAACTTACGAACATTCATGAAAGTAGAGGTTTTGAATTTCTTGATTCATTCATTTATCTCTCTCTCTATATATTAATATCTTCCTATACACACACACACATATATGTGAACATACATATTCAATAGATATAAAAATTCAAAAAAGTAATGCTAATCATCAAACAAGAAAGGTGAGGCATGCTTTTAATGCAAAATTGACACTGATACTTGCTTACCCTTCCACAGTAAAAGGCCCAATATTGGCCTGATATTGGCCTGAAAACTACTTATTTACTTAAAAAGTTCTAAGTTCTGCATGGAAGAGAGAACCTAGCACCCAAGAATATGAAAACCTTTGTGAAACACAACTTTACGAATTTACCAACTCAACTAACCATTAGAATAATTGGTAGGATGATATAAAACAGTTAACAAAAATGTCAGTTCTACTGTTTCTAATCATACCTTATTCAAACACACTACAATTCCTTCATACAATTAATCTGTTTCCTTTGATGAATTGTCTGATGAAAAGACCCATAATTTCCTTTCAAAAAAGTAAAATAAACAAAAAAGGTCTTAAAATAGGAATGATAATTTAAAGAAATTTAAGTGTAATGTTTAATCCCCTGAAATCCTTTAGTCTACGCTGAAATTTTAGAAGTGGGAAAGGATGACTAAAAGCCAGCATGTCAGGAGACACTTGAATTATACCTATAAAATGCTATCCATGTGGTCTGCCTAAACTTTCTGAAGCAACTTTCTTTTCCCCACTAGCAAAAGGAAGATTTTCATGAAAAGAAAAGGAAAAGGCAAGAAGAAAAGTGGGAAACGACACCAGTTCTGCTGCTTAGAACTAACTATTTGCAGTGATTGCTCTCTACCACCACACTGGAGCTGTTCATACTCCATTATCTGTGCAATGCCCATGAGTGAATAGCATTAGAACCTAAACAAGCGTTCACAGTTCATGCTACTAATAAATTTCCCAAGATATTCAAACCTGATACTTCTGAACTTCAGCTCGTAACTGAATTATTTTTATTTTCTTAGTCTCCTAATGTTTTAAGATTTAAAAATAGTCTCAGTACAGGACAGGAAAAGAAATTGTGTAGTATATCCAACTACAAGGTACTGCATATGGGGATCTAAGCAGGGGCCAAACAAAAGCATATGGAGTTTATGTCTTATGGTTAATAGTTCGTATCCAATTCAGTCCAATGGCGTTTGAAACTCACTACCATAACTGTTCTGCTACCATGGAGCTGGTAGGACTGGACTAGTTTGCAGTGATGAATTTTCCAAGCTATGAAGTTTTTATTAACACCCTTATTTTGGAGCACAAATAGAACATATTTTCCTTGAGTCTAACAATGTTACATAGTTTCCCCCTTGTAATTTTATTGCAGCTAAAGATGCAGATTCTAATACCAGTATTTACTGAGAGCATAGCTTCTCTGCAGCAACAATACCCTGTGAGATAGTCAATATGCCCTGCTGCCCATCCAGCTTCCCTGCGTCTGAGATGTGATCAGCTTTTTTGATCTTCTGCTTCATCGCACAGAATTGCCTCCTGAAGAAAAGGGACAACTTTAAACAAAAAAGTATAATATTAATAACTCAATCAAAAACTGGATGCCATTCCTCCTAGCGTTCAAAAGTTGGAACTCAGTAGAGCACACAGGCAACTCTTTAGGAAGATACGATTAAGATCTTAAAAAAAATTCACATACCTACGCAAAACAAGGTAAAATCTAATAGACTTTCATTGGGATAGTCACTTAAATTATCATATTGATTCTTCCAAAATTCAAGGCTACTCCTTCTATGAAGCTCATTCTTTCCGACCAGCAACAATTAAGAAGTATTAAAAAAGATTAGCTATTGTATGTAAAGACACCATAGCAAGTCTGAAGGATAGCATTTACCCTATAGCCTTTCTTGTGTATTTAAGACTCAAGTTTCTCTTCTTTTTTGACCTCTCCTAACACATATAAAGAACAAAACACAAATTTATTACAGATTTCCAAATCTCCTTTCAACTATAAATAAATTTGAGAGAAAAGAATCTACCAGTCTCACAATTTTCATGTCTGCCTTCAAAAACAACAAACACGTTTACTGCAGGTACTGGTAGAGGAAAGGTGAAAAATAGCAGAATTTCAAGAGAAAGATTTTTTGCTGATTTGCCAAAAACAAAGATGACCTACCCTCCCAGTTTCATTTGGCTCTTATATAGGTGCTTAGAACAAAAACTGCTTGCAAAAGTAGGTACCACTTAAGTATCACTCGATCAGACTCATCCTCTGCTAAAATCTTTCCAGACAAGAATTTCCTTATCAGTAAAGAAAGTAGGTAGAAGGCCAAACAAGAGCTCTGTTTCTTTATCATCAGAAAAGAAACAACAATCCTCCTACCACATGAGTTTAGAGAAGCACAATAACCACTACTAAATTGTTTTTTTTTCCAACTATAGCCAGTATACAGCTTTGGGAGACTTGTTCATCTAGAAAGTTTGAAGAGAAAGTCATTTTCAACACTATAGTGTGAGTACTGAGGAAAAGAAAAAGAAGTAAACACTTCAAACCACGCCGATTTCTTTTATTGCTTACATAACCGGAGTCTTACCAACAACAACATGCTGTGGTGACTTTTCTGTCAATCACTCCTATTCAAGCTTTATAAGAAAACATTCTTTCCTTTTCACAGTAAAACCGTCAATCCTAGGTGAGCCTAAATAAATAATAGTAAGATCACTGTAATGAGCAAACGTTAATGCTAGACAAACACATTACACTGGCAGAACTTACAAGAGATTATATCACCCAACTGTCGGCAAACTGCATCTCCCATTTAATACACACAGCATTCAAGCATGACTCGACTTCCCGTTATCAGTAAAACTGGAATCCTGATATGCATCTGGTCTGACAAGGCACAGGTAGAAGCACAAACATCTTCACACAAAAGGCAAAAGACACGACAGTTTGTGCCTGGTAGCAGATTTGCAAGCTCTCCTCTTTTAGCAAAAGCAGCAGCGTAACGCGCTGGCCCTGATACATAGCCTCATCCAAAAGCCACCAAACAAGCCCTTTGTAAATTACACCCCAGCGTTGCTGTACATAACCGAAATATTGCTTCTTTATCTTCCAAGTTTTCAGCTGTACCCTGTGTGAGTCCTCCCAAGTAAAACATCTGACAGCTCTGAATTTCCAGCAGGTCTTTCGTTCACGTTTGCGGAAGAACTGAGCCTAGGTGAGGTGACAGACCTACGCAACAACGGTGACTATACAGCCCCGTCTTTCAAAATAACGCAATCCAAGACGCAAGCGCATCCTATCCGGGATCAACGCTCAGTTTTTGTCACTCCTGCTCTATAAAACCATGCCTGAAATGACTGTCTGGTTTGACAGAGACCGTTATCAGCTGGGGTAAGCACAGATGTGTCTCCACTGCTGACCTAAAAACAAGCGAGAGGGTAACCCCTCTCTCGCAGCAACCCCTCCAGAAGTTACTCAGAGCATTTTTGAGAAACTGAAGCCACAACAGGAGTTGGGGCGCCGCGATCTGCTCGGGACTGGG